AAAGGAAGGAGTCTAGACTTCTCTAAAGAGGAAGAGGAAGGGAAGGCAAGGGAAGAGTAAGGATGTTTTGTAAAAATAAAAGGAAGAGGAGTGAAAAGCAAGATTATTTTTTTTTAAAAGGGAATGATGCAGAGAAGATTAGCATGGCCCCTGCAGAGGGATGACACGCGTAAATTGGGAAATGGTCCAATGGTCCAAAATTTCTCATCTTAGGTTCGAATCCAAGTTAAACAAAAACAACAACAGACACACAATGGAGGGCTAGCTAGCTTTTCTATCTGGGCGCGTGAGGTACCCCACCATGCCAACGATGCCTGGAGCGCCCGCCTAACCCACCCACTCCCGGCCCCCGGAGCAGGCCCCCAGTTGCTTCCAGCACCGGGGCAAAATGTCTTGAAAGAAAATTCCCGAGCTACTGTTGGTTGGCTGGGAGGCCAAACAATGTCTTGGCGGCCGTGGGAGGCCAAACAATGTCTTGGTGGCCGTGCTGTAATTTTTTAGAGGCCGATAGCTGCTGTTTGTAAAGGTCTTAACTTTTTCTTTTCTTGTTTTAATGTCAGCCATTGATCTGCGATGGACAGTGCAGCAGATCCAGGATTCGAATTTGAATCCTGGTTAACTTCATGCGGTTCCCCCCCTCCCCCCACCCTGATCGTGGTTTCTCCCATTGGTCTTCCCCACTACAGTTTGTATACATTCGTTATCAGGGTGCATTATGCTCGGGGAACGATGGTAGTGTTGTGGTCCCCTCTATCTGAGCATTGCCCCTCCATCTGCACCTTGCACCTCGTGCGGCTGAGCATGTCACAGTTGTAGTCACCTCTCGCTCGAGCATTGTCCTCGTCCGTGCACACATGCTTCCCCCTCTAAGATTGCCATGCCGCTCCTCCATTGTGAAGGTAAGATTCTCTTCTTTTTACTTCCTTTTTCTTCTTTTTATTTCTTGTTCTTGGTAGCTATTTTTTCTTTTTGTTCGTCTTTGGCTGCACCAGTTCTTTTTTCTTCTTTCGCCACTTTTGGCTGTGCCTCTCCATTGCTACCCTCTCCTCCCTTCTTCTCTGCCATAGGTTCTCTGCTGTAGTGCCTCCCTCCTCCACACCACCTCCTTCCTCTGTAGCGCCTCCCTCCTCCATAGTGCTTCTTCCCCTTCAGTGCCTCCTTGATCCAAAGTGCCTCCCTCCACTATACGTCCAGCACCATAGCCTACCTCCATCTAGGCTGCCTCCCTCCTCCCTCTGCCATATTGCTGCTCCTTCCTCTGTCTTCATCTTCTTCTTGCCGTGCTCTGTTTTTCTGTCTTTTGGCCGTGCCTTCTTTTGTTCATGTCCTTTTGGACTCCACACATTCCTCCTCTCCCCTTCTAAAAGATGTTATGTAGGCTCCTCCTGCACATCCTTCCCCAATCCCCCTCAGTACACACCGTCCATAATCCAGCCCCCTCCTCCA